CCTCTGGTTACAGCAGTGTACTCATTGTGCAGGCTGACTGTGGATTGGCCGGGAGAGGGACACCTGGAGTGACCCATGAGAGCCACTAAAATCATAAAGTTAGGTTGCTCTGTGTGTGTGTGTGTGCATGTGTGTGTGCTTGTGTGTGTGCATGTGTGTGTGTGTGTGTGTGCATATGTCTGTGTTTGTGTGTACGTGCATTTATGTTTGTATTTGCGTATGTGTGTGTGTGTGTGTGTTTTGGGGCAGGTGTGAGTCGCTGTAAAGCAGATAAAGGAGATAAAGTCAGACTGATTGTCACTTTAAATCCAGCTGCAGTGTTGATGTGCCCTGAAGCCGAAATGGTAAGAACCATTTCCACCTCTGCGGCAGAGCCGGACCAAAGCCGCGCTAACGTGCCTCTCTTTCCCCTGGACACTCGAGCTGAGAACCTGCTGCACACCTGGAGAGGAGGCTGGGTTCAGACCGCTGCTTTTCTCTCTGCTGGAGTGACTTTTGTTCCTGCGCATTTTGGGGACATGATTTCATTCTGATTCGCTCTCTCTTGTTGTTGTTTGATCCGCAGAACTCGGTCGCCTCCATCCACGTACCGCTGGCTGCCTCTCCGCTCTCCTCCTCCGCGCTGCAATCTGTTGATAACTCCAGCTGCAGGCTGCAGTTGATCGTGTTCCGCAATGGGAAACTCTTCCCCTGCACCGGGAATTCTTCAAACCTCGCGGACGATGGAAAGCGTAGGAGCGTTTCGACACCAGTTGCTTTCACCAAATTAGGTAAGAGGAAATCCATTTTTATTACGCGGGGCTTGTGATGTCAACGCTGTGGACGAGTGGGAGAACATGCAGTGGGAGAACATGCAACAACATGTTGGCGCTGTTTTTATCTTCCAAGTGTGAGGCAGATGAATTAAGCTTGTTGCTTCTGCGTAAAACTTTAGCGACATGACATTAGGGCTTGTTTATGATCACGCAGATCAGGCTGCTGTCCCCTGTCTCCCCCTGTCTCCCCCTGTGTCCCCCCTGTGCCCGCTCTGACGCTCTGTGTGCTGGACTGTCCCTCTCTCAGATGGCTGCAGCAGCCTCCGGAGCGCGGTGCACTCCTCCGTGACCATCGCTCTGAGGCACTTCGCGCTGGGTGTAGACCCCACCGCAGCCTTCTGGGACTTTGACCTGCTGGATGGACACGGCGGCTGGAGGGCAGAGGGCTGCCACATAACGGGCACCGGGGGCAATACGACCACCATTCACTGCAGCCTGCACCACAACAACTTTGCTGTGCTAATGGTGAGTAGTATAGGTCTAGAGTCATCCATCCATCCACCTCCCACCACCTCCTCCTCCTACATTACCACTGCTTAGGGCCTATTACGGATCAAATGCTTTTTCTTCTACTACATGGGAGTCACGTGTTGTGCGAAGCTGTACAGGGGACGTTAAAAGCTTCCTTATTGTTGCTCTCCAGCGGAGGGGAAGGATTTGTCTAATGCGCAACGGGGATTTATTGGCTTTGGAGTAAATTCTCTCCTGGAAATGAGAAGTTGCGTGGCTCTTCGTGTAGCCTGCTGCCACCCAAAAGCGGAGGGAGCGGGGGGACGCAGGCAGCGGCTGTGAGACAGCGGCGCGGCACCAGCGGGACTGGGATACGTGGATTTGGTTCCGAACACTGAGCGAAACGCACTGGGAGTCGTTTAACTTCGACGCTGCTGCTGCTGCGGAGATGCCCCGTTTTTGTTGCTCTTCACCCCTCCTCTGCTCCGTCTCCAAGAGGATTCTCACCAAAAGCGCAATGGCATCGCGTCGCCCTGTGTCGGCTCCATAGAAAACGCACGCTCCCCGCGTCTTTCTTTTGGATGCAAAGAAAACCTCCGGATGTTTACCGAAGAGTGGGATGCGTTAGACTGGGAGGTCAGTTTCTGAGTTACCGCATGAACTAAGTCTTGTGCCTTGAGTTGATTTGATTACACCTGAAGCCAATGTGTCGTGCGTGTTGCGTGTATTCGCTGTGAGTGTGTGTGTTTGCGCGTGTATGTCTTTATATGTGTGTGTGTATGCCCTGTATGCGTGTGGGGTGAAAAAACGCCGCATAGGAATGAGTGTAGCGAGCGCTGTAGGGGGTGCACGCGGGGCTGGAGCGCGCGCCTGTGGAGAATACTAAACTGTTGTCAGATGGATGGCAGATGTCACATTGTCATTGTGTTTCCAGGGACCGCGTTGAATCCGTGCGTGTGCGTGTGTCACTGCTTTCCGATCCCCCAAACGTTCCGTGTTGTCCCCCTATACGTCCTCTCACCACCACTGCCCTGTGCGTGTCTGTGCATGTGCGTGCTTGTGCGTGCGTGTGTGTGTGTGTGTGTGTGTGCGTGTGTGATGTCGCTCGTGGTGGATGATTCTTGGCTTGCGCGCGTCTTGCTTAATGCAGTCACCACACCCGCCTTGGTCTCGTCTCTCCGCAGTGCCCGACCAAAACGACCCTTATTTACGGGTATATGTGACATCACTCGCCTCCCCCACCCCCCCCTCTCCCCTCCGCTGACCTCACCCCTATACCCCTCGCGCACGCGTCTGACCTCTGGTTTACGGAGAGCCTAGACCTGTTGCTTTGAATGCCCCCCACCCTCCCTCTCTCTCTCTCTCTCCACGTCAGAGCGACAGGTTGACGCGCAGTCGATGTTAGTTCTGTGTAGACGTCGCTGAGTCGATTTTGAAGTTTAAAAAGTTAGAACTGCAGCTTTATCTTCACGTACACGTCATTCTAGCCGTTTTGCCTCTCCTGTATGCATCCCCAAGTCCTGCTAGTATACCCATGTGTGCCAGAGCAAACCCATGTCAGTATTATTCTTATTTATTATTATTATTATTATTATTATTATTATTCTCCCATGGTTTGTCAGGTCCAAAGAGACATTGTAGACTTCAGTTTGAAACACTCCCAAATGGCTGCGTGTGTGGAATAAGTGAGACTTGTGTGTACAGTCTTCCCTCTGCTCATGCCATCCACGTTTTGGTCAATTGTTGGCTTGGTTTGTGTATTGTCTTCTGCCGAGCTCTTCTTTCTTGTGTCTAAATCGCTGCTGTTTGTACAATGGACCCCTCTGCTGCTGCTGATGTCACATGTTTGCTAATATCTGCTGTTACTGACCTGAGCCATGCTGTGTTTGTGTGAGGTACATGCTGTGTGTGGTATATGCAGTGCAAACATGTGCAATACTGCATTTTCAGAATGTAACTATGTTCATATTGCACTAACCATGTATGTACAGTGATAAGTATGTGATGAGGTCTAACGGAGAAGCAAACGCAGATATCGCAGACATTTTGCCACAGAATTGTAATTTTCTAGCTCCAGTCATGAACATGTTTTGGGTCTGGCTGTAATTTTGAAAGGATTTGCTGAAAAACGGGGGAAACCTTTATCTGTTTGGCACTAAAATAGGTCGGATGTAGGAGGGCGTGAGGACAGTGAGGACCCAGGACAGAAGGACATTGGACAACCGCCCCTTATGGACCAATGAGGATGTGGCATTGGGGCGATAGTGGCTCAGTTGGTAGAGCATTGACCTTTGAGCCTGAAGGTCGTAGGTTCTCCACCGACTCCCAGTGATGTCTGCAGCCGTTGTGTCCTTAGGCAAGACACTTCACCCCCATTGGCACAGACTGGTTGCCTCGCTTCTGTCAGTGTGCCCCAGGGCAGCTGTGGCTACAGTAGTTTATCACCACCGTGTTAGGAGTGAATGAATGATGAAGTGAAGAGACTTTGAGTGTCCAAAATAGTGCTGTATAAAACCAATGCATTATTATTATTATTATTATTATTATCCAGGAGAAATGGACAAAAAGTCCTCTCCTTATGGACCAATGGCTCTGTGTGTTTTTATCATTTCATTTCCTGGTTTGAACTTTTTGACTCTCTAATCTATTTTTGGGAAATCAAAAACTGTGTAAAGTCCTCCGAGACGATGCATTTGTGATTTAGGGCTGTACAAAAATACATTGATTAAAACACGTTGAACTGAATTGACTTAAAATAGACCTGGGTTTTTTTCACATAAACTATTTAGTAAAGTTTTCTGAGTAAAGGTTTTTCTTCTGATGTCGATCGCAGCCGTTGGTTTTAGAATTCCGACGCTTAATTAAGGATCGAGCTCTGTGAATATCTGTGAATTATAAATGGTAATAGAATATTCACATATGGCTATATAATTGGTTCCTGTTCAAAGCTCTGCATATATCATATACTTGCCCACGCTTATGTCTATAAATATATCTATATTACTGGCTCTAGCTGCTACTTTAGCGCGGAAGCAGAAAGAACGATCGTGTTAGGAGTCACTGACTTGGGGTTTTAAAAGTTCACATCAAAACTGAATCAATTGCCAATATCTGGGGTCATTGACAAATTACTGTCTGCGTTATCGATGCTAACCGAGCTCGTTAGCTTGTGCGTCATATATATTATAGTCTGTTGTCGTTGCAAGAAGCAGAAGCGGGTCTGAATCAACAGCTGGTGACATTTACCACGTTTTTATGTTAGAAAATGGACAGTATCGTTTATCGTGTATTCAAGATTTGTGCAGTGGTTAGAAGGTCCTGGGTTTAATCTCCACCTCCAGGGCTTTTTGTGTGAAGTTTGAAGTTCTCCCCGTGTCTGTGTAGGTTTCCTGTGGGTGCTCCGGTTTCTCCTACCATTAAAAACACACGCAGCATTAGTAGAACTCAGGAAATGCAACAATAACAAACACAGAGGAGCCATTGGTCCGTAGGGAGCAGGACGACCTCTGTCCAAAAATGTCAACAAAAATGTCTTAAAGGTATTTAGCAGGATTTTCTACTTCTGGGTCATCGAGACTATTGGTTGGACAATCTGGTGATATGTGCTCGTCCAATAAGACCAGAGAGATTTGTTCAAAAAGTGGAGAGGTTCTTTCCAAAAATTTGGCTTGAAATCTTCTGCATCACCACTGTTTTTAGACTCCAGAGAGCTACTTTGCCGAGACAGAGAGCTTCTCCTTTAAGTGGTTCTGGGAGAAATGATGTGATTTACAGTATTGTGAGAGAGATCAGGTGATTTAAGGTAAATATTCATCACATTATGCTTAATATGCATTTACATTAGCAATCAATAATACATGACATATTTAGTGTATTGTTTCGTTTGTTCATTTATAAATCCTTTGGCGGGCTACTTAGAAGGGTGGTGGTGAGCTACTGGTGTCTTCTGAGCTACAGGCTGGAGACTTTTGACTTAGACCCTCCTGCACCTGCAAAGACAACTCAAAATCCCAGTGAGAAAAAGTGAAAATAGTTTTTTATTTTGGTTAGACAAAATCTGACATCATGTTTTCTCTGCTCTGCTTGAGGTTTGTGCCGAATCATAGAATTGGCGCCATTTCCACATTTCATTTGAAGACACCTCACAAATCTATAAGCCTCTGTGTGTGAGAAATCCCGCCCTATGCTATGTTTTTATCCACACAACCGGAACAAGGCCAGTCGCAAAGCACCACGGCCAACGACTCGGAGACTACGGCGGGTCGCGAGGAGAGACGCCTAGAGATTAAGATTAAGAGTTGGTTTATTTGTCCAACAGTGGGGAAATGTCAGTAATTTCTCAGACGTAATCAAAGGCAAAAATGTATGTAAAACGTAGCGACTGTTTTGAGAGTTAGGAACAAGCTCTTGAAACTAGCTGGAGCACCTACCTTTGTGTGATGATTCAATAAGGTTCATTTCGTCTTGAGTTATAACCCTTTTTGTGGTTCTTTTGAAAGATAAGTCAGACGTATTCACTTGTTAACATGTATTACCCACTGGGGATGGGTCCCAGCTCAAAAGTGGCCAAAATGACGTGCGCTGACATGCTGCGATACCACCCCGGGCCTGTGGGGGTGGACCCAGAAGTAGAATTAGCCAATGCTAACATATAGCATCTTCTTACCTCTCGAAAACACCTTTACAGGATGGTCCCAAAATCGACTCTTGGTCCAAAGCTCCGTTCCACATGTGTGTCAATGCTGAGGGAGTGTTCTGGACCAGTCTAGTTTAGTCGCTGTGAATTTTTGAAGTCACTCGTTTAAATGAATGGAGCTCGTGCGTTTTCCAGCCCCCGCGGCCATTTTGAATCACTCCATGAAAGCGAATTTTTGGCCCATTAGTTTGAACGACGGAGAAGGGCATGACTACGTCCGTTAATATATTCAGTCTATGGTATAACCTTGTATTAGCTCTGCAGCCGAAACCTGTTATTAAGATAATACATTTAACTTGTCTTTCAAAACAACCACAAAAAAAGCAAAGTCACTTTTTGTGGTTTCAAAGTGAAGTACTCCAGATTTACACATTACTCATCGATCTCTTCACACTTTCATTACTTGCCTGAGAAAATTAGCTGCACAATCCTAAAATCCGGACTGGTTCTTTTTCTAGTTAAACGTCATGAGAGAGGAAGAAGGCGAAGAGCAGACGGCCCGATGCGGGAGTCTCCAGAGGGAGGACCTTTAATGAGACTGTTTGGGAAAGATAATTCTGGATCAGACAAAGAATGACAAAGATGTGACTGTGGGCTTTGCAATGAAAGCACAAAACATCTAAACACTAACTACGATTCAACGCAGGACGCTTCCTTTTATACTTTTTTTTTTTGTTCTGACCATGTCCCAAACTAGGTTGAAATCATACCCGTTTCTCCGTGCGTACAACTCATTCCATTTGGTATGATTTATGGCTTTTATCTCCCTTGTAAAGCCACATTGGAATGAGAGTTATGAACCCCATATTTTCTTGCTGCTCTGTTTTAACACGAAATAATTGTATATTTCATTGACTTTACACATTTTGATCTGTGTTTTCAAAGTGCTCTTGTGAAGCACTTTGTATTGTGCAGCTGCCACATCCCTGACCCAGTAATGGACGAATGGTGCTATACAAAAAAATGATTGATTGAAGTAAAAATACGCATCATATGTTTCTGCTACTTCTGTATTTTAGTAGTTTCCTTGTAAAGCTGCTGTTTGTGCCGTTATGAAGCTCCCAGAGGTTTCTCACCTTTCTCCCACTGGGTTTTAGAGTTTTGCTGCTGCTAGGTCTAACTAGGTCTAACTGGGTCTAACTAGGTCTAACTGGGTCTAACTAAAAAGACAGAGGTGTTGATCCAGGACACTCCACATTCAACGTTTATGGACATTGGTCTCTGCTCCTTTTGAACCAACGGCTCGGAGATTGTAGCGTCCAGTTGAGTGTGAAGTTGAAGCCAGAACTGATGGTTAAAATGAAGTTTATTTTGTCCTTCCATTTATTCATATAACCAACGTCAGAGCTAGAACAGAAATGAAAAATCACCTTATTATTGACCAATTTAAAGAAACGCTGCAATTGTCACACATATCAAATCAATCCATCTATTTCAACTGTAGCTAAACTTTGTTGTCGTTTCTTTTATACCATATTAGCGCTGCTTCATATTTAGACCAATGACTGGACCGTAGACAGGAAGTGTCAAAATAAAACATTTTTCTATTGATCTTAATACATCAACCTTTACAGAGTTTTTTTTAATCAGTGTAATTCTTTGTGGTTGAATTGTTTGATTGCTTGTTGGTGAATTCAACAGTTTTGTGAAGTCCTCTGAGAAAACTGTTGTGATTTAGGGCGATACTAATCACATGTGAAGAGCTGGTTGGTACCACAGCAGACATAAAGCATTAGTTTAGGTCCATTTACTCATTGCTTTGTGTGTGACCTGTGTGTGTCCTTATTCTCTCTGACTGTCTGTGTTTTTCTGTATTTTATTATTATATGACTTTTACTGTTATTATCTTTAAGGAGACTACAGCGCTTTGTGATTCTGGTCTGTGAAAGGCGCAGATGGAAAATAGCTTACTTGGCAAATTCTGGTGCATTTAAGATAAGATCAGAGAGACATTATTGCTCTCACACTGGAGAAATGATGGTTTCGCTTTCATGGACAGACGGGCTGTAGATCCAGGACTCAGACTGTAGAATGAGGACTGAGGCTGTAGATCCAGGACTCAGACTGTAGAACGAGGACTGAGGCTGTAGATCCAGGACTCAGACTGTAGAACGAGGACTGAGGCTGTAGATCCAGGACTCAGACTGTAGAACGAGGACCGAGGCTGTAGATCCAGGACTCAGACTGTAGAACGAGGACTGAGGCTGTAGATCCAGGACTCAGACTGTAGAACGAGGACTGAGGCTGTAGATCCAGGACTCAGACTGTAGAACGAGAACTGAGGCTGTAGATCCAGGACTCAGACTGTAGAACGAGGACCGAGGCTGTAGATCCTGGACTCAGACTGTAGAACGAGGACTGAGGCTGTAGATCCAGGACTCAGACTGTAGAACGAGGACTGAGGCTGTAGATCCAGGACTCAGACTGTAGAACGAGGACTGAGGCTGTAGTTCCAGGACTCAGACTGTAGAACGAGGACTGAGGCTGTAGATCCAGGACTCAGACTGTAGAACGAGAACTGAGGCTGTAGATCCAGGACTCAGACTGTAGAACGAGGACTGAGGCTGTAGATCCAGGACTCAGACTGTAGAACGAGGACCGAGGCTGTAGATCCAGGACTCAGACTGTAGAACGAGGACTGAGGCTGTAGATCCAGGACTCAGACTGTAGAACGAGGACTGAGGCTGTAGATCCAGGACTCAGACTGTAGAACGAGGACTGAGGCTGTAGATCCAGGACTCAGACTGTAGAACGAGGACCGAGGCTGTAGATCCAGGACTCAGACTGTAGAACGAGGACTGAGGCTGTAGATCCAGGACTCAGACTGTAGAACGAGAACTGAGGCTGTAGATCCAGGACTCAGACTGTAGAACGAGGACCGAGGCTGTAGATCCTGGACTCAGACTGTAGAACGAGGACTGAGGCTGTAGATCCAGGACTCAGACTGTAGAACGAGGACTGAGGCTGTAGATCCAGGACTCAGACTGTAGAACGAGGACCGAGGCTGTAGATCCTGGACTCAGACTGTAGAACGAGGACTGAGGCTGTAGATCCAGGACTCAGACTGTAGAACGAGGACTGAGGCTGTAGATCCAGGACTCAGACTGTAGAACGAGGACTGAGGCTGTAGATCCAGGACTCAGACTGTAGAACGAGAACTGAGGCTGTAGATCCAGGACTCAGACTGTAGAACGAGGACTGAGGCTGTAGATCCAGGACTCAGACTGTAGAACGAGGACTGAGGCTGTAGATCCAGGACTCAGACTGTAGAACGAGGACTGAGGCTGTAGATCCAGGACTCAGACTGTAGAACGAGGACCGAGGCTGTAGATCCAGGACTCAGACTGTAGAACGAGGACTGAGGCTGTAGATCCAGGACTCAGACTGTAGAACGAGGACCGAGGCTGTAGATCCAGGACTCAGACTGTAGAACGAGGACTGAGGCTGTAGATCCAGGACTCAGACTGTAGAACGAGAACTGAGGCTGTAGATCCAGGACTCAGACTGTAGAACGAGGACCGAGGCTGTAGATCCTGGACTCAGACTGTAGAACGAGGACCGAGGCTGTAGATCCAGGACTCAGACTGTAGAACGAGAACTGAGGCTGTAGATCCAGGACTCAGACTGTAGAACGAGGACTGAGGCTGTAGATCCAGGACTCAGACTGTAGAACGAGGACCGAGGCTGTAGATCCAGGACTCAGACTGTAGAACGAGGACTGAGGCTGTAGATCCAGGACTCAGACTGTAGAACGAGGACCGAGGCTGTAGATCCAGGACTCAGACTGTAGAACGAGGACTGAGGCTGTAGATCCAGGACTCAGACTGTAGAACGAGGACTGAGGCTGTAGATCCAGGACTCAGACTGTAGAACGAGGACTGAGGCTGTAGATCCAGGACTCAGACTGTAGAACGAGGACTGAGGCTGTAGATCCAGGACTCAGACTGTAGAACGAGGACTGAGGCTGTAGATCCAGGACTCAGACTGTAGAACGAGGACTGAGGCTGTAGATCCAGGACTCAGACTGTAGAACGAGGTCTGAGGCTGTAGATCCAGGACTCAGACTGTAGAACGAGGTCTGAGGCTGTAGATCCAGGACTCAGACTGTAGAACGAGGACTGAGGCTGTAGACCCAGGACTCAGACTGTAGAACGAGGACTGAGGCTGTAGATCCAGGACTCAGACTGTAGAACGAGGACTGAGGCTGTAGATCCAGGACTCAGACTGTAGAACGAGGTCTGAGGCTGTAGACCCAGGACTCAGACTGTAGAACGAGGACTGAGGCTGTAGATCCAGGACTCAGACTGTAGAACGAGGACCGAGGCTTTGTGTTCTTTGTGTAGTTACTTCTGGTTGCTTCAGTTTCTCCTGCGTCTAAAATATTGATGTGTAAAAGGTTCAACAAGTGCTTCCTGTAGCGACCCAGCTCCATCACTGTGTGGAGTGGGAGCCTCCTCAGTCCTCGTTCTACAGTCTGATTCCTGGATCTATGGCCTGTCTGTCTCTAGCAGTGGATCCCTCTGTAAATGTGGGCAAAAGCAGGAGAGAATATACAATTATTAACAATTGGACACTGGTCATCCCGCTCCCTATGCACGGATTTATTTAATTGCGATTCCTTTCTTCAAACTGTTTTAGGCTTTGATTTATTGTTGTTAAATCAGGCGACTGCTGTTGTGATTTAGGACTAAACAAAAACATACAGAATTGAATCAGCAGAGGTTATGAATGAATCACGGGTAGAATCTCACTATGAAGCAGACAGAAGCACACAACGTCTTCTTTAGGTTACACACAATGAGAAGTGACTGTGAACGCAAATGTATCGGGACGCCTCAAAGCTGCGCCTGAACCCTCTCGAACATGCACAAAATAAAATCCATTCTAGATTTGTGAGGCTCATAGATTGCACTGCGGTCTGGAGTAATTGCTGTTCACGGTGCCTCGCTGCTATCGCCATGGCTGTGTGAGCGGAATAACGGAGTGCTGATTTGGGACAAGCGCTGTGTACAAAATCAACAGCTTTTTGTCCAGATTATTCCGTATCTCTCTCTCTCTCTCTGTCTGTCTGGCGGCTGCAGTGCTGTCAAATAGGTTTTAGGATTTGAATGAGCAGGTCAAATAGTCACTAGTCATGCAAATTGTTCAGAAGTGGGTCACATATTGACAGGATTTCGATTGTGCTCGGCTAAACTGTTTGGAGAGCTCCCCTCGTTCCCCTCTGCGCTGCTGGGAGCAGATTTCAGCACCATGGACAGTTCCCGTGGATTTCCTCACTCGCTCGGGTTTCCTGCCGCGTTCCGAATGATTTTATGCTAACTTTTTTGTGTCTTTCCACATATGTAAATGAGATTCTCTTCTACAAACAGAAGTGGGATGTGTTTGAAATGGATTCTGTCAACATGTCTACCACAACTAGTATAATACTTATTACCCAATCACAAGTCATTCTGTATGGTATTATTATGTGATTTTACAATTTGCAGTTTTTTCAGAATCAGAATCAAAAACATGTTCCTATTGCCATCGTAAGTAACAGGAAAACAAACTAGTAAATTGCGTCGGCTCAAGATCCCAAAAAGGTAAAAAATAAGCAAAGGCGTGCATAAACAAATCTTCATTAAAAGTGCCATATTTTGCTTTTCTTACATTTTCACAGTCCATCCTATGCACATGTGTGATAATAAAATGGGTGATACATCATACAACACTCAAAATGTGTCAAATTATAGCCATTTTGTGCATAGAGGTGATGTCATGTGAAACGCTTGGATCTGTGCTCCTCTGTCTGTGAGCCCGCTTCCCCCCCGCCCTCACAGTGATGTCGCATCACGCTAAGTTCAGACGTAAACAAGAGCTAACTGTAGCTTTCGCTGTTAGTCATTTCACACCTGAGAATAAACTTTTTCCAACAATGGCAACCCGTCACATAGAGTCTTATGCCCTCGATCCAGAATCAAAGAAAACACTTCTCTGGGCGTGTGTAGGAGGCCAAATAACTCTGTAATCATGTTTAAACCAGATACAAGTGAATATGGGCCCTTTAAAGACCTTATGACGGGTTTTTTTTTTTTTAATTGTGGATATCAAAATTGCATGACAATGTCAATTTGAAAGAGATTCCAGCAAAAAAAATCCTATATTTTATAAAAAAAGAACGTGTTTTTCATGAATTTAAGTTGTCTATGCTCTAACCTGTGTGTGACGTCACAGCGGGTTACGCCCATGCATTGAAAACCATGGATCTATGCCACAGGACTGCCTTTTCTCTCTTCTCTCCACTGATGCCCAACACAATACTGCCCTCTACAGGTGACAATTGCTCACTACACATAAATTGCCGTTTTGAGAGTGAAAAAGTGTCCGAGGTGGGATTTGAACCCCAGTATCTGGATTGGCAGTTCATCGACAAAACCACTGGACTATCTCTGTGACAACGAAATGTTATATTCTAGTATTTATGTCACACTCTCTGTACACGGCCTTGTCATCTTGAATATCCGCGAAAAAAGAACAAATACCAAATTGTAAACAACTTACAACGTACCCACTCTGACGTCACCAAGGGCTGTGAAGTTTTTTCGTTTCTAAGGGCGTTGCTATGGGGTTATTTCGATTTGGGGGGATCAGACAAAAAAAACAACAACTGATTTTGAAACCTTTAGTAGTTCTCTTCTAATATAAAATGGTATTAAAACTGTATTTCTAAATAAATCAAACCCGGCATAAGGTCTTTAAGTGTCATAAAATTACTACTATAAACTATTGCGTTATGTACAATATACAGGACAAAATCATCAAAGTGTATCGGTAAAGCACAGTTCGTAAACAGAGCGACTTCAGGTTCCATAGTTGTGTAGTGTAGTTGTGTTGTGTAGTGTAGTTGTGTTGTGTAGTGAAGTGAGTTGTGTAGTGAAGTGAGTTGTGTAGTGAAGTGAGTTGTGTAGTGAGTTGTGTAGTGAAGTGAGTTGTGTAGTGACGTGAGTTGTGTAGTGAAGTGAGTTGTGTAGTGACGTGAGTTGTGTAGTGAAGTGAGTTGTGTAGTGAAGTGTGTTGTGTAGTGAAGTGAGTTGTGTAGTGAAGTGAGTTGTGTAGTGAAGTGAGTTGTGTAGTGAAGTGAGTTGTGTAGTGAAGTGAGTTGTGTAGTGAAGTGAGTTGTGTAGTGAAGTGAGTTGTGTAGTGAAGTGAGTTGTGTAGTGAAGTGTGTTGTGTAGTGAAGAGTTGTGTAGTGAAGTGAGTTGTGTAGTGAAGTGAGGTGTGTAGTGAAGTGAGTTGTGTAGTGAAGTGAGTTGTGTAGTGAAGTGAGTTGTGTAGTGAAGTGAGTTGTGTAGTGAAGTGAGTTGTGTAGTGAAGTGTGTTGTGTAGTGACGTGAGTTGTGTAGTGAAGTGAGTTGTGTAGTGACGTGAGGTTGTGTAGTGAAGTGAGTTGTGTAGTGAAGTGAGTTGTGTAGTGAAGTGAGTTGTGTAGTGAAGTGAGTTGTGTAGTGAAGTGAGTTGTGTAGTGAAGTGTGTTGTGTAGTGAAGTGAGTTGTGTAGTGAAGTGAGTTGTGTAGTGAAGTGAGTTGTGTAGTGAGTTGTGTAGTGAAGTGAGTTGTGTAGTGAAGTGAGTTGTGTGTAGTGAAGTGAGTTGTGTAGTGAAGTGAGTTGTGTAGTGAAGTGAGTTGTGTAGTGACGTGAGTTGTGTAGTGAAGTGAGTTGTGTAGTGAAGTGTGTTGTGTAGTGAAGTGAGTTGTGTAGTGAAGTGAGTTGTGTAGTGAAGTGAGTTGTGTAGTGAAGTGAGTTGTGTAGTGAAGTGAGTTGTGTAGTGAAGTGAGTTGTGTAGTGAAGTGAGTTGTGTAGTGAAGTGTGTTGTGTAGTGAAGAGTTGTGTAGTGAAGTGAGTTGTGTAGTGAAGTGAGTTGTGTAGTGAAGTGAGTTGTGTAGTGAAGTGAGTTGTGTAGTGAAGTGAGTTGTGTAGTGAAGTGAGTTGTGTAGTGAAGTGTGGTTGTGTAGTGACGTGAGTTGTGTGGTGGTGGGGTGTGTGGTGGTGGTTGTGTGGTGGTGTGTTGTGGTGGTGGGTGTGGTGGTGGGGGTGTGGGTGGTGGTGGGGTGTGGTGGGTTGGGGGTGGTGGGGTGGTGGGTGGGGTGTGGTGGGTGTGGGGTGGGTGGGTGGGGGTGTGGGGTGGTTGGGGTGTGTGGGTGGGGTGGGTGTGGGTGGTGTGGTGTGGGTGGGTTGGTGTGGGTGGGTGGTGTTGGGTGTGGTGGGGTGGTGTGTGGTGGGGGTGGTTGTGGGTGGTGTGGGGGTGGGTGGGTTGGTGTGGTGGGGGTTGTGTGGGGTGTGGTGGTGGTGTGGGTGGGGTGGGGGTGGTGGGTGTGGGGGTGTGGTGGTGGGTGGGGTGTGGGGGTGGTGGGTGGGTGGGGGGTGGGGTTGTGGTGGTGTGGGGGTGGTGTGGGGGTGAGTTGTGTAGTGAAGTGAGTTGTGTAGTGAAGTGAGTTGTGTAGTGAAGTGAGTTGTGTAGTGAAGTGAGTTGTGTAGTGAAGTGAGTTGTGTAGTGAAGTGAGTTGTGTGTAGTGAGTTGTGTTGAAGTGAGTTGTGTAGTGAAGTGAGTCGTGTAGTGAAGTGAGTCGTGTAGTGAAATGAGTTGTGTAGTGAAGTGAGTTGTGTAGTGAAGTGAGTTGTGTAGTGAAGTGAGTTGTGTAGTGAAGTGAGTTGTGTAGTGAAGTGAGTTGTGTAGTGAAGTGAGTTGTGTAGTGAAGTGAGTTGTGTAGTGAAGTGAGTTGTGTAGTGAAGTGAGTTGTGTAGTGAAGTGAGTTGTGTAGTGAAGTGAGTTGTGTAGTGAAGTGAGTTGTGTAGTGAAGTGAGTTTTGTAAAGACGTTGTATAAATCTGACGTATTGTTGTGTAACGGAGCAAGAAAGTTGTTGGTATTTTCAGTTTAAAAAGTGTTTGTGAAGTAAATGACAGACTTCTCTTTCTCCACATCATCTCCTGTTCCACTCCTCTCCCAGTCTCCTCTCCTCCTCCCCTCTCCTCCTCTCCTCTCCTCCTTCCCTCTCCTCTCCTCCTTCCCTCTCCTCCTTCCCTCTCCTCCTCTCCTCTCCTCCTCTCCTCTCCTCCTTCCCTCTCCTCCTCTCCTCTCCTCCTCTCCTCCTTCCCTCTCCTCTCCTCCTCTCCTCCTTCCCTCTCCTCCTTCCCTCTCCTCCTTCCCTCTCCTCCTTCCCTCTCCTCCTCTCCTCTCCTCCTTCCCTCTCCTCCTCTCCTCTCCTCTCCTCCTCTCCTCTCTTCCTCTCCTCCTCTCCCCCTTCCTCTCCTCTCCTCCTCTCCTCCTTCCCTCTCCTCCTCTCCTCTCCTCCTTCCCTCTCCTCCTCTCCTCTCCTCCTCTCCTCTCCTCCTCTCCTCTCCTCTCCTCCTTTCCTCTCCTCCTTCCCTCTCCTCCTCTCCTCTCCTCCTTCCCTCTCCTCCTCTCCTCTCCTCCTCTCCTCTCCTCCTTCCCTCTCGTCCTCTCCTCCTTCCCTCTCCTCTCCTCCTCTCCTCCTTCCCTCTCCTCCTTCCCTCTCCTCTCCTCCTCTCCTCCTTCCCTCTCCTCTCCTCCTCTCCTCCTTCCCTCTCCTCCTCTCCTCTCCTCCTTCCCTCTCCTCCCTCCCTCTCCTCCTTCCCTCTCCTCTCCTCCTCTCCTCTCCTCCTCTCCTCTCCTCCTTCCCTCTCCTCCTCTCCTCCTCTCCTCTCCTCCTTCCCTCTCCTCTCCTCCTCTCCTCCTTCCCTCTCCTCTCCTCCTCTCCTCCTTCCCTCTCCTCCTCTCCTCTCCTCCTCTCCTCCTTCCCTCTCCTCCCTCCCTCTCCTCCTTCCCTCTCCTCCTTCCCTCTCCTCTCCTCCTCTCCTCCTCTCCTTTCCTCTCCTCCTCTCCTCCTTCCCTCTCCTCTCCTCCTCTCCTCCTTCCCTCTCCTCCTCTCCTCTCCTCCTTCCCTCTCCTCTCCTCCTCTCCTCCTTCCCTCTCCTCTCCTCCTCTCCTCCTTCCCTCTCCTCCTCTCCTCTCCTCCTTCCCTCTCCTCCCTCCCTCTCCTCCTTCCCTCTCCTCTCCTCCTCTCCTCTCCTCCTCTCCTCTCCTCCTCTCCTCTCCTCCTTCCCCTCTCCTCCTCTCCTCTCCTCCTCTCCTCTCCTCCTCTCCTCTCCTCTCCTCCTCTCCTCCTTCCCTCTCCTCTCCTCCTCTCCTCCTTCCCTCTCCTCCTCTCCTCTCCTCCTTCCCTCTCAACTCTCCTCCTCCTCTCCTCCTTCCCTCTCCTCCTTCCCTCTCCTCCTTCCCTCTCCTCTCCTCCTCTCCTCCTTCCCTCTCCTCTCCTCCTTCCCTCTCCTCTCCTCCTCTCCTCTCCTCCTTCCCTCTCCTCCTCTCCTCTCCTCCTTCCCTCTCCTCCTCTCCTCTCCTCCTCTCCTTCCCTCTCCTCACCTCTCCTCCTCTCCTCTCCTCCTTCCCTCTCCTCCTTCCCTCTCCTCCTCTCCTCTCCTCCTCTCCTCTCCTCCTTCCCTCTCCTCCTCTCCTCTCCTCCTCTCCTCCTTCCCTCTCCTCTCCTCCTCTCCTCCTTCCCTCTCCTCCTTCCCTCTCCTCCTCTCCTCTCCTCCTTCCCTCTCCTCCTCTCCTCTCCTCCTTCCCTCTCCTCCTCTCCCTCTCCTCCTCTCCTCTCCTCCTTCCCTCTCCTCCTCTCCCCCTTCCTCTCCTCTCCTCCTCTCCTCCTTCCCTCTCCTCCTTCCCTCTCCTCCTCTCCTCTCCTCCTTCCCTCTCCTCCTCTCCTCTCCTCCTCTCCTCTCCTCCTCTCCTCTCCTCTCCTCCTTTCCTCTCCTCCTTCCCTCTCCTCCTCTCCTCTCCTCCTTCCCTCTCCTCCTCTCCTCTCCTCCTCTCCTCTCCTCCTTCCCTCTCGTCCTCTCCTCCTTCCCTCTCCTCTCCTCCTCTCCTCCTTCCCTCTCCTCCTTCCCTCTCCTCTCCTCCTCTCCTCCTTCCCTCTCCTCTCCTCCTCTCCTCCTTCCCTCTCCTCCTCTCCTCTCCTCCTTCCCTCTCCTCCCTCCCTCTCCTCCTTCCCTCTCCTCTCCTCCTCTCCTCTCCTCCTCTCCTCTCCTCCTTCCCTCTCCTCCTCTCCTCTCCTCCTCTCCTCTCCTCCTTCCCTCTCCTCTCCTCCTCTCCTCCTTCCCTCTCCTCTCCTCCTCTCCTCCTTCCCCTCTCCTCCTCTCCTCTCCTCCTCTCCTCCTTCCCTCTCCTCCCTCCCTCTCCTCCTTCCCTCTCCTCCTTTCCTCTCCTCTCCTCCTTCCCTCTCCTCCTCTCCTCTCCTCCTCTCCTCCCCTCCTTCCCTCTCCTCCTCTCCTCCTTCCCTCTCCTCTCCTCCTCTCCTCCTTCCTCTCTCCTCCTCCTCTCCTCTCCTCCTTCCCTCTCCTCTCCTCCTCTCCTCCTTCCCTCTCCTCTCCTCCTCTCCTCCTTCCCTCTCCTCCTCTCCTCTCCTCCTTCCCTCTCCTCCCTCCCTCTCCTCCTTCCCTCTCCTCTCCTCCTCTCCTCCTCTCCTCTCCTCCTCTCCTCTCCT